AGGACCGAGGGGGGGGGGGGGGGGGGGGGGGGGTTCTTTTTACCAAAACACATTGGACAAATGACAAAAAGCATCCTTATATCATACTTCAAACAATGTGATGCTAAGCAGCAAACCATAATGTTATAATAGTAAATTCAGCCCAACAGTTGAGTTAGTTCATATTTGACCCAAAGTTGGGTTGAAACAATCCAGCATTTTTTAGAGTGTATGTTCTTTAGTGTCTGCAGAGGGTATGGTGCTGTTTAAAAAAAAAGGAGAGAAGGTTTAGACTACGCAAAACCTCTACCTGATGCTTTTGGCAAATTCTGCATAGTTGTCTCATGCCTGGCTCACACTACAGGAGTTTTCAAATCTTAACCGATTGTGAAATCTGGTTGCAGCACACACATAAGGAGAATCTTCGCAGATTTTCTTCCCTCACACACACTACAAGATCTGAAAAACACAATTTTATTAAGATTATCATGCCAGAGGGAGCGCCTCACTTGATCTCACGCAGCAGATCAGATCGTCATTGACGTTTCAGCAAGTGGTACGTTTTCGACACAATATACTGACAGCCGCGTTATTGCAAAACTTCCACAAGCAGTTTCTCCATCTCCTCTATCCAACGGACCACTGTTGCCAACTCTCGCAAGATAAATCAGCAACCGCAGCTTCAAAAACAAGCCCAATATTTTTTATGATGATTTATTATCATCAATATTATTTATCAATTATTTATTACCAATAAATGAACCTGCAACATATTAAAAACTGAAACCACTCTTTTATCTGAAAAGCAAAAACAGAAGTGATTTTACAAAAATCGGCAATCTGCAACAAAGCGGGAACAAAAGTCATCTCCAGTCACCTGTGAGCAGTATAGGATTGGAGATGGAAAATGAGAAAAACAAAAGAGCTTCAAAGGGGAGCTGTAACATAGCCACATATTTATAGCAGTACATTATCACACACCTTTATATTTCTTACTCAAAACATTTTAAATGACTATATATTTCTTTCTCAATATTCTTACCTTATATTGAGAATGAAATATAGTAATTTAAGATCTTTGTCTGGATATCTGTCTCAGTCAATGGTATCATTATTTCAGATTAATTTATAACATATATCTAGCTGTGTAGCAATATTACACAGTCGCACTGAAAGGAACCAATGTGTAAGGCTTTGTTTTACAGTCATTATTTATTGTTTCTTTTCTTCTTTAATAAGGTCTTTTCTTGAATTTTCGTGATATTGACAGCATTAACATTTGAGAAGTTTCCTGTAATCTTGACTTAAACTTTGACTCAGATTTGCTTTATCTGTTGCATGCAAAATATTGCTATTTTCCCTGAACATTGTCTTTTTTATTTTTATTTTGCAGAAATCACTTTGTTGTTCATGTTTTGTTTTTATTGTTTTTGTACTACAGAGATTATGAACGATGTCATTAAGAAGTTGAAGAAGAAGGGAGAATGGAAGGTACACATCAATCTCACCGTCATTTCATGTCAATCATTATAAAAAAGATTACTGTTGACGTGTTGTAATGTGCAGCATTTGTTTGTGGAATCAAAACACAATTGTTATTTATTCTGTACAGTATGATAAAAAGAATCTTGAAATAAATTTGAATTAAAGATGACTCTGGTGTCATATTAGGCTTCCTTGCTTAAAAGTCCATCCTAACCCAGCATTAAATAGATCCAACAGCATCCCATGTTGACGAACAGCATTCAAAACATGTGTTATGTTTGTCTTTGATTGGTTATGTGTTGTTCTACATATATCATGCATGCTGTTCTCCCTCAGGTTTTGGTGGTGGACAAGCTTAGCATGAGGATGATCTCATCATGCTGTAAAATGACAGACATTATGTCTGAGGGAATCACAAGTGAGTTATACTGACACACATTCACTTAGCAGTATATATTACTGTATATAGCAATTTGGCTCAAATGTACTTTTTTCCATTTTTGCTCCAGTTGTTGAGGACATAACCAAGCGGCGTGAGCCTCTTCCTACCATGGAAGCCATATATCTCATCACTCCATCTGATGAGGTAAGTTGTCTCATTTATTTTTATATATAAAATTGTATCATATCCCAACATTCACAAGATGACAGTTACTGATATACAACACAATGGTGAAATGTTATCAATTGAAATGCAATTTCAATAAAATCTTCTGTTAAAAAATTGGGCTCAGTAAGAAAGGAATTAATACTTTAGTTCAACAAGGGCCCAGTAATATGATAAAGAGACAATTTGGACATTTATAG